GGGTTCAACAACTCAGTCAATACAATTTCCTTAGCAGATCTTCCCAACCTAAATCCTCATGATTGGATTTTATTGTTTAACATTTTTCTCATAAGTTCGAAGGAGTGAGAGCCGATTCTCAATCATCTTAAGAGGATGTTGGCCTCTTATATCCTTGAAGTTGCAAAAATGGATCAAGAGTGGCTCTTGTTATGAGGAAAAGGCCAACTATGAAGCCCACTGGAAATCTTGGTGATGTGAACAACATGAAGCTGGGTCAAATCGACTCCACTAATCTTACTGTCATGTTTACAAGAGCCGAAGGTGAAAAGTTCTTGTTCGCTCTTGTTGATAAGCATTTGTTCTCTATCCTACTTGGAGCATATTCTTGATATTATTCACAGCTGTAAGCAAAACATAGATTCAGATAAGAAGAATTTCACAGACATTATTTGGTGGTATATCACTTTTCATCAAACTCTGTTGGCCATTATACCGAACATATTCAAGACTATCAAGAAATCTTCAGTTGCTCAACCGAACTGAGCTCTTGGCTCCATTGACGCAAAGGGGGAGATTGTTGGGTATTTAGTGTTGCGTCATGGGCTCGTTTTTGTATATCCGGATTGGGCATGTCCATCCATGATTATAGATTAGGGTTACGTTATTTATAGTGCATGAATGTATGCCTTAGATACGATAATCATTATTGCTTTGTAACCCTAAACACCTCTACAGTCGAAGTTCTTAATCGAGCTCTTCTGAGGTGTTAAAGTTTAATCATTTGACACTAGTTAAACCATTCCTATGTTCTTTATGGTGTTATTTATTATGTTGTCGTTTATTATTCTGCTTGAATCTATCAATCATTAAGGAATATCATTCCAACAGATGGGTCGAATTGCTAAACGACTATGAGTGTAAAATCAAGTACCATCCAGGCAAAGCAAACGTAGTAGCTGATGCCTTAGTCGAAAAGAGTACTCGGGTCGCCGAGTAAAGACTTTGAAAATGACCATATATTCCCATCTATCCTCACAAATAAATGGGGCCCAACAGGAAGCCTTGAAACCAGAAAATGTCACCAATGAGACATTGTGTGGAATGGAAAAGAACCTGATGGTCAAGGAGGACAGAGCCTATTATCTTATGGACCGAATCTGGGCACCGAAGTTTGGTGGGACTCAGGACGTGATAATGAATGAGGCTCACAAAATAAGGTACTCGATCTATCCGGGTTCTGATAAGATGTACTTGGATATCAAGCAACATTATTGGTGGTCGAATATGAAATCAGAGATTGCTACTTACGTTGGCAAGTGTCTCACTTATGCCAAGGTTAAAGTGGAGTACCAGAACCTCGGGTCTATTTCAGTAACCCGAAATACCCGAGTGGAAATAGGAGAGGCTAACAATGGAGTTTATAACCAAATTACCCAAGACGACAGACGGTATGGATGCTATCTGGGTGATCATTGACCGATCGACCAAATCCGCCCATTTCCTGCCAATAAAGGAGACATACAAGATGGAAAGACTAACGCGAATATACCTCAAATAGGTGGTAAGACTTCACGAAGTCCCCATATCTATCGTCTTGGATTAGGATAGTACATTCACCTATCGTTTTTGGCAGTCTCTCCAGAAAACAATGGGAACCCGACTGGATATGAGCACTGCCTACCACCCCTTGACAGATGGCCAAAGCGAGCGAACAATTCAGACTCTAGAGGACATGCACGGAGCATGTATAATATATTTTTGCAAATCTTGGGATACCCACTTGCCCCTAGTGTAATTTTCATACAACAACAACTACCATACAAGCATAGGACTCGCACCCTTCGAAGCCTTGTATGGCTGGAAATGCAGACCGCCCCTTTGTTGGGACAAGGTAGGTAACACCTAGATGGCAAGATGGAAAGTACCGGATAACACTCTCAACGGGCATGCGATCATCCGGTAAATAACCGAGAAAATCATCCAGATTAGATCACGGCTCCAAGCGTCCGAGGATAGACAGAAAAGTTACGCAGACAAAAGATGAAAGCCACTGGAGTTCCAAGTAGGAGACTATGTGTTACTAAAAGTCTCTCCCTGGAAAGGGATGATCCACTTCGGGAAGCGAGGAAAGTTAAACCTACGCTACATCGAATCATTCTAGGTCCTTGCCCGAATTGGTCCAGTGGCCTATAAGCTGTAGCAACCCTCCTAGCTCAACAACGTGCATCCCGTGTTTCATGTATCAAATTTGTAAAAGTGCTTGTTGGATGAAACCCTTGTAATCCCGCTAGAAGAGATCGAGGTAAACGAAAATCTCTTGTTTGTGGAAGAACCAGTTGAAATCATGGACAGAGAAGTGAAACGTACTAAGCAAAGTCACATCCCAATTGTAAAAGTTCGTTGGAGTGCCAAACACGGGCCTGAATTCACGTGGGAACGTGAATATCAAATGCTACACAAGTATCCCCACCTATTCGCGAAACCTTGAGGTCTACTTCAAAGAAAAATTTCGGGACGAAATTCCCTCAAGTGGGGGATGATGTGACAACTAGCAAGCTTCTGGTCAAGTCAAAGTTGAGTCAAGGTCAGCAAGTCAACTTGCTCAACCCAACTAGTGTTATGTGTTAGGGATTTCTTTATGTTTACTAATGTACAACCATAAATCTTAATCCAAAGTAACACTTGAAAGTCCCGAATGTTCAAAATTTAACGCCCTAATTTGATTTGGGGAAGTAACAGCTCTAGAAAGTACTATTAAGTACCCTTCGGGGGTGTAAAGCACTCAAAATGAGATATAACTAAGTCTAAAGTCCATACTCTACGAAGAAAAACATTAGTAAGGGATCCCGGAAAAGTCTCTCTCAATCTCTCCCACTATATATATATATATATATATATATATATATATATATATATATATATATATATATATATATCTCCCAAATTTCTCCAAGTATGTGGAATCTCTCCCAAATCTCTCTAAGTACCTTCCTCAGTCAAAAATAGCCCAAAATCGGAGGAGAAAACCCAAAAGGACCCTCTTGGTCCGGAATGTCTTCTAAGGACCCAAGAGGAGTCACATATTCGGAACCCCCTTGCTCGTGATCTCGCATACTCTGGAAGATCTAGGGATTGCTTCGGAACCTCACTCCAGAAGGTCTCGCAAGTGCTTCGGAATCCCTAGCCGGCTCGCATCTGGGTTTCGGACCTCCAGACTTCACACCATGCTCCGGATCAGAAGGAAGAGCTTCGAAAATTTCCAGTTGACTCCGGATCCTTGGAGAATGACTCCGGAAACCTCCTACACCCTTTGGACCCTCGCAGAAACAACATTCCACCACAGATTTTTGTCATTTTCGGACCTTTTTCTCATTTTAAGACATTTTGATGCCGGAAATCACACCAAACTCGTATTTTTCATATCCTAAACCCCTTAAACCCCTATTTTATGCCAAAATAAATTATTGTAAACATATTTATATAAAATAATACCCAAGATTTTTAAGGAGATTCTAAGGTAAATAAGGGGGTTTGACCTTCTAATGTGATGCTAATTCCTCATTTCCCATGCAAATCCCAAATAAACACACATTAAAACCTTTTTTCATATCCTAAACCCCTATTTTATTCCAAAATAAATTATTTAAAACATATTTATATAAAATAATACCCAAAATTTTTAAGGAGATTCTAAGGCAAATAAAGGGGTTTGACCTTAAGATGTGATGCTAATTCCTCATTTCCCATGCAAATCCCAAATAAACACACATTAAAACCTTTTTTCATATCCTAAACCCCTATTTTATTCCAAAATAAATCATTTAAAACATATTTATATAAAATAATACCCAAAATTTTTAAGGAGATTCTAAGGCAAATAATGGGGTTTGACCTTAAGATGTGATGCTAATTCCTCATTTCCCATGCAAATCCCAAATAAACACACATTATCCATAAGAAAATAAGCTTTACCCACCAGCTTTCCAAACAAATGTCAAGTCACCTTTTATCCTTCCCTTAGATACGTGAATCTCCTCCCCCACATTACACACCTCACTTCCATACTCAACAAACTCCTAAGAAATTCTCTCAACACCTTCAAGCTTCAAGTTCGTCCTTTCAAAGGAAATTCCCAGATTTCCTTGGTGAGTATTCTATCCTCTTTGAATAATAATTCTTTACATTATTATAAGATTCCACTATATTTACACACATAAATTATTCTTAGAATCCTTTAGAGATTTAAGAACCTTTCAAGTTTTGGAGTTGGAAACTTCCTCATCACTCTTCAAATCACTACTAGAAAAACAACCTTTTACGACGCTCATTGCGCGTCGTAAAGGGCTCAGACGACGCGCAAATGCGCGTCAAGGAAGGCCCTGTCATAAAGAGAGACGACGCGCATTTACGACGCGCAATTATGATGCGCAATGCGTATCAAGAAAGACCCTGTCATAAAGGAAGACGACACGCATTCGCGTGTCATAACCTTACGACGCGCGTGTTAATGACACGCAATGTGTATCAAGAAAGCCCCTGTCAAGAAAGGCCATGTCATAAATGAAGACGACACACATTTAAGCGTATCATCATTTTAGATGTTTAAAAAAAATTATTTATAGATTTACTAATTTTCAAATTAAATTTCCATTTCATGTCTCATAATAAAAAATAAAATACCATATACAAAAAATATAATACATTGCACTTGTTAATGTCATACAAATAATCATTCCAATAGTAGACAAATGGATAAATCTCAAAGGGATCAAAAATATGTTTGTCTTCTAATAGAACTTATACACAAGAAAGTACTGAATTTGCTATTGAACTTATAGATAAGAAGAAGGTGTTTGAATTCAAAAAATGTCTCAGCAACTGAATTGGCCCCAGAAGCTTGTGGTTTGACTGCAACTGAGATAAGCATACCATGTTTACTCTTCTTAAGCTTACTAAACAAACTTGACAATAAGATAATATAAAATTGAATTATTATTAAGATTAAGCCACAGATGCACTCAAGCTATACATACCAATGGTGATGGTCTTTCATCAGCTGCACGTGGAAACCCACTACCATAAACAGAAGTATCAAAAAACTACTTTATTCAAAAAAACTCAGATTACTATTGTAATCATAATAAAACACACCGATTATGTATAGTTTTATACAAGAAATGTTCCAGATCATTATTTTAGTAATAATGAATAAGTGAGGATACATTACTTACTTTATACTGGAATAACTCATAGAGATCTTTTCTTAAGTTGTGATACAGTTCAGCCAATGAAGGTTCCATGAAGAACTCCAAGTATCCTCCCAACATTTTCAAGTGCCCATCATGTTTCATATCATAAAATGGAATGGAATCAAAAAGGAATGGAGTAAGAAAAGGTAATAGACTCTCTATATCGCCTTTTGAGATGCTTCCACCAAACAGTAGCATGACGGAATCGGAAACAACAGTCGTATCCAGGAGAAAAACAGAGTTCACTTTGATCTTCTCATTAAAGACCAACCACGGGAATGGAATTCACAGAGCCCGGGAATTAACCGAGTTCTATAGCATTAAAAAAACAAATTCAGATTAAAAAAACTATAAGAATTTAGAAAAACAAACTTACCAAGTGTAAAAGCACCTGACCATCCGCCACGTTTTTCAGCAAGAATGAATTTTCATTATGCTGATGTCAACAAAAGCGAGTTATTATTTATAAAGAAATTGTTTAAAAACAAAAGGGAAAATGACTTTTCCTTCTAATAACTTATGTCATCCCACTTAATCATAAATATCAAAACTGCCCCTTGCTTTTCACTCCCACGTATACTCAATAGTAGAAACTCAATGAGATTGAATCCCATGAATTCATGCAATCAGGATTCCAGCATCACATAGAATCCCATGTCTTTGGACTATAGCCTCTAAAGTCAGTGTACACAAGTAAATTCCAGTAGTCCTTTACAGTTCTCAGCTCATCCACTTGTGACTTGCAACTGATCATGATTATTGACTGTAACAAAAAGAAAATTTTATATTTTTAACAAAGAGACAAAAAAAGAGAACCTTTAGCAGCATCATATCCAAGGTCGGGGTTATCTTGCTCCAATAGTTTCCCAACAACAACATCACCCTCTACTCCTGCATTCGCAGCTACTGTGTACACCGGTGCCTTCACATACAAAATCAATAAACAATAAAATATCAGCAACAAAAATAGATATACAATAAAACTACACTGCTAGCTGCTTTTTATTAGGAAGAAGGGGGAATTACCTTGAGAGCATTTTGAATTATTTGAACACCAATCTTCTGATCAAAATTAGTTGTAATAAGATTATCAAGCTCCTTTGAAGCATATAGAAGAGCAACACCACCACCTATATTATATTGTATATTTTTTGATATCATTATCACAATTAAAAATAAATACTTAGTAAATAGCATGTGTGGACATGATTTAATCTACCTGGCACAATTCCTTCTTCAACTGCAGTCTTTGTAGCATTTAGAGCATCAGTAACTCTATCCTTCTTCTCACCAACTTCAGCTTCACTCACTCCGCCAATCTGACTAATCACAGCAACACATCATTTACATAACAAAATTATTTAGAAATAAAACAAAAATAAGAATCGTCCCCTCAAAACGGCAACACCACCAGAATTTTTTGCTAATCTCTCTTGGAGCTTCTCCTTATCATAATCAGAAGTGCTTAATTTAATTGATGATCTCAACTGTCGAAACACAAAATAGTACATGTTAGGAAACTCAGGTACATAAATTAAATATATTGTTAAAAAGCTACTGTAATACCTGTTCACATCTTTCTTCAATTCCTTTTTTGTTGCCAACCCCATCAAGAATAAATGTGTCATCCTTGGATATTGTAAACCTAAATGTAAATATGTAATGTTCCAAACATTATTACCATATATTGCATACATAATCTATTTGGGCAAACTAGAGTTGTAGATGTAAAAAATAAATGCTTACCCTAAAATTGATAAAAAGGTGTGCAACTTAGGGGACTAAAACTGATAAAAAGGTGTGCAACTCACGGGCCAAAATTGTATTTTACTCTAAAAAGTCATTGAAAAAGTTAAAACAAGGGCAAAACGATAATTTTAACAAGCTTACCGCATTAATTTATTTCGCTGATTTTAGAAACGCACGCCAAATCCGTAGCCTGAAGGGGTCTTTTCTTAAAGGTCTAAAAGATTCATCCGGAAGATCAGCTTTAATATCCACAAAAACTATTTTAAGAAACTGAAGAATTTCATAAGCTTTCCCAGTTAATTTTGGTAAAGACAAGCAGTTATTTCCGATTATACCCCCATGAACTTCACACGGTTTTTTTCCAATTATACCCTCAGTCTCACACTGATGAGTTGCTAATTAGTTGAAAATGTGTAGTGGCATGAAAAACAATGGTTTCAAGTAGGTCCCACTAATTCCAAGCACTCACACCGGAATATTTCCCCAAATTTCTATTCCATTTCTGCCCTTACATTTGTGGAATGAACCGATGATCTGAACTGAAGTGCAACTTGACCCACAATGTGATTATCATTTAAATCATTGGATTTGTTCCTTTGCCATTTTTTAATGTTTTCTTTCAATTGTTTCTCTTTTGCATCATCATCTTCAAGCCATTCACGTAGAGCCTCAATTTCACCATCTGATTCATAGCAAACCCATGCACAAGAAGAGATTGTCACGATCACATCCTTCTTCACACTCACACCTGTCATAAAACAATAAAAAAAATTATAAATAAAATTTAATTATGTTTCATTTTCTACCATTAACAGCTTCCTAACATGTAAATGGAGACAAGAATCAAACAGAGAGATGAGGCTTCATGGTACACCCTTTACCCTTCCTTATATTAGTTATGTTTAAATGCAAATAAATAAATAAATAAATAAAGCCTGGATCTACTACTTTATGAGAGAATTCATTCCCCAATGTTTCATCATTTAAATGTTCATATCTAAGAATCTTGACAGCAACATGCTCACCAAGGTACTCTCCATGGAATCTTTCAACAAACAAAATAACTGATATTAAGATACTTGTAAGAATTAGGAATGCAATTGGAAACAAACAGTGTACACGTACAAATCACCACATGATCCAGATGCAATCTTTTCTCCAATCTTCAATGATGCTCTGTCTATTTCTGCATCTCCAAAAGTTGGTCCGCTGCAAATCGAGATATAAACTGACAGGTAAGGATCAGAACAGAAATTTAAGTCAAAAACCATAAGGAATGTCAATGAGGCAATACATCGAACACATTTTTGTGCACTTACAAACCACAAATGGAATCATCAACAAAGAAATAGAAAGAAAGGAAAGGAGGATTCATATCAGATAATGAGAAACAATGAAGATTTGGAAGCGAATTAAAAAAACACTAGATGAAGGCCGAATGAAGGGATTAGAAAACCATAACAAAAAAATCCACAGAAAATTGGATTGAAGAAGAGATGAAGAGATTGATCAATTACTTGAGGAAATCTTGTACCTTCTTAACTAAATTTACAATGAGGAAGGCGTGATTGGGAAGACGAGATGATGCTCTTGTGGTCGCAGTGAGGAGGAGAGAAGTGGCAGCGTAGGGAAGTGTCGAACAGGTGAAAAAGAAGAAATCGTGCTCTGCTGATTTAAAGAGGAAAAAGTGCTTCAATCTCATTTATTTTCATAAAAACGTGCGCAAGCAGCGATTGGAAGAACTTGCGATATATACATATTTGATTGAACTTCCGATAACAACAAGCAGCGATTGGAAGAACTTGCGTATTCAAAATCTTATGGGAAAGTACTTGATTGTATATTTAAAAAATAAAATGACTTTTAACAAAAATTTGGAAAGACAAACCACCCAAATCAGAAAAAACTCTTACACAAATCAAACCATGTGATCTTGATAGAAAAATAAAAACTGAATACAAATTAGGGCTCACATAATCAAATCTCAAAAATGAAATCACCTTAAATAAAATGGTGGAGCAGGTATCCTTAGAGGATTTGAGTTTAGGTGACCGACGTTTGTCTCGGGGAAGGGACAAGAATCGGTAAGTGCCAAAGGGATATAGGAACGGAAGGAGGCGAGATCTAGGGTTCGAGTATGAGATGTAGAATGGTGGAGTTTCTGTTAAGTCATGGTCTCCATAGAGATGTAGAATGGAAGGAGGCGAGATCTAGGGTTCGAGTATGAGAAAGAATTATTATAGAGTCGCCGGTGATTGGATATCATTAATCGTACTCCAGACTCTCAGATCCTTGGGTTCGATGGTGAAGGCACCAACTTAGGATTTGCAAAGAGAAGGGAAGGATAGAGTGATCGGGCGGTGGAGATGTAGAAGAAAGAACGTGCAGTAGAGGAAGGCGGGGCAAGTTCTTGAAAAAAGCCCTAAAAAGGGGAGGCGGGGTTTTTAAGTAATTGGGATTTCATTTTTCCCTCCGGATGGAACGCGCTGCTATTAAAATTTATAAAGCGACACCCTTAAACGACACACGTTTTATTATAGGTGCCCTCCGTGTTTTTTTTAGACACTAATTCCAGGGAATGCAAAAATGCGTGTTTTAAATCCTTTAAGTTTTAAGAGAGATAACATTATTTTTAGGGCACCCACAAATGCGCGTCCTCTATCAGTGAGTGTCATTGTTTGCGCGTCATTAAAGGTCTTTTTTCTAGTAGTGAATCCACCCAAAAAACACACCCAGGTGAGCTTCATACCCCACCTTTTTCAATATTTTATTGTTTTTGGGGGAAAATACAAGTCAAATCTTGTATAAATCCTTGGATAATTGCATGTATTTGTATGTTTAGTATGTGTGTTGAGATGTTATTATATTATCACAGATTTTTCATGAACGTAAGTTCACAGATTATATGAAAATCTTAGAAATTTTTACAAAACCACCACATAGAGAATACTTTATGTATAAGAAGAGCCCCCAAGGTTATGAATGTGTCCATTCATACACCCCCCCCCCCCATTTCATATCTTTACATCTAAAGATAAAAAGGTGTTGAAATAGACTTATAAGTTGACACAATTTCTAGGATCTACAAAGTTTTAGACTTTATGCCCCATAAATGATTGTTTTTGCAAACCATTAGGGGTATTTCATAAATATTTGATATTAATAATTATGGAAAGAAATTACACAAATGAAGCCTTTATGACAGAAAAATTTGCATATCATAAAGCTGCTGTCATAAACTCACTCAAGCCAAAGATACATGTATAACTCACGATTAGGCTTTTTCCGATAATTAGAATCACACATAGTCTTTTATAAAGAAAAAGGGTCTGCTTGCCGGTTTTGATAATATTGGGTCATTTCGATAAATATTTCAAAGCAAATTGATTTAAATAAACGAAACGAACGAAACGAAATATCTAGTTACAACTACAACTATTATTATTATTATTACTATTATTATTATTATTATTTAGTAAATAGTGAATTTCACGATTTGCTCAAAGATCAGTTAGTATTCTAGTCAGACAAAATGTTCATAGTACGTATATTAATATAATAGTGTACACTCTAAGTCTTGTAAGAGTTATAACTAGAGTCTCCTGGAAGGAGAGCGAGAATTTGTGTATAGATCTATACGGGGTTGACACCTCGCACCTTCGTTGTTCGCTACAACTAGACCGTCTAGGGTGACAAATGTCTTGAACAAAACCGATGCCTGAAGAACGTCATAACAGGCACTCCGTCATATTAGTATGGTTATAACAACTCACTAGAATACATTAAAAACGTATTTATACATATTTCATCTTCGGTTGAAAACCAACTATTTTTTACTACCTCAATGAGACTTTTCCACACAAGTGTTATGTTTTTATCAAAACTACTATTTTACACATTAGAAAATATATTTCTGGGGAAATGATTTGTACGATTTTGAAAACGATGATTTCAGACACACATGCAACTATACTCGATTTGAAACAAGAATTACAACTATTTGATAAGAAAATATTGGATTTTTTGGATTTTTAAACTACTATCAAAGTTTTTATATGCAAATGCTTATGAACTCACCAACATATTTTATGTTGACGCTTTTCAAACGACTTGTATTGTCAGGAAATCAATAAGCATGTTATGGATCGCAGACTCAAGATTTATTTTGCTATATTTTGGATATTGTTTACGAATGTTTCTTTTGTGTACACTTGAGAACATGAACATGATGCAAAACAATGTAAGCTTGTTATATTAATGTATGATGTATGGATTTGCTATGTTTCAATTATATACAATTGTTATGATACTGCACAAATGACATCACCCGCCTCCAGACGTTTCTGCCGTTCTAGTCCGGGGGTGTGATAATGACTTACCTTTGTGTGTTGATGATTCCTTAAAACCTTGTGAGCCTAGCCCCCAAGTGTGGTGCATCAAATGTTTCACACAACGCCAAAAACCCATGGAATAACTTGAGAGGAGAATACTTTGATCACAAAATCGGCTAGCCCTCACTTAATAGTCTTAGTGCCGATTTTTCTAGCTAATGAGGTCTTTATACAGTGTGCCACATGTAGGGTTACTCCATGTAAACCCTAATGCGCATGGCTTTTCGTATTCCATGATCCATGGGTTCATAACCTCCATAGACCATCCATGGAGCACCCAATGGGTCGTAGCCCAATCTAGTGAATCATGGACCTTTAGCCCACTACATAAGAATAAAAGATTTACATAATCTATCATCATATATTTAGTTAGTCTCTATTTGATCACAAAATTAATTCTAAATTAATTCTTGATCAATACTAATTAAATATTCATATTAATATATTAAGACTTATAATATATTAACAAACCATAAGTATTCGTTTCTCATTTGTCTATCTAGTTGTTCCGATGCCATGCAAACCAAATGGACCATGCTAAACCGGGTCAACTACATACCCAGTATAGTTATGGATTTAGACATTTTATCCAACAGTTACAAGTTTGGATCCAACAAATTCACTTCTTTTTTGGACTTTCATGAGTATAAAGTTCATTACTTACTCTTTGGTTTGCTAGATATTTTTATTGGTCATATTATATGCTTGTTGGTCCATTTCGTTTCTGATCTTGGAGCTGAGATGACTCCAATATCCTTTGAGCACCTAGGAATGCTCTTTGGACCTTTTGGACTTGGAATGTTGGTAATTTATGCTTGCCAATTAAGTTATGCAAGTTGTATGGTTCTTTAAGTCATTTTTGGTTATTAAAGTTTAGATCTTGATTGTTTGGAATGTCTTAATGTATAAAGTTGGAAACTTTATCTATTAATACACTGTTAAGGACCACATCTTGAAGTTTTGGGATTGGACTTAATGGATTAAGTCATTTCTAGTTTTGGAGAAGGCTTGGACACGACATGTCCTTCCCAAGCATGATTGTTTTGTCCTGTAGTGCAATGCGCCTGGTTGAGCAAGGTTTTTTGTATATACGTCTATTTTATATTAGAAACTGGATTGTTTTGTCATGTAGTGGGATTGGGGTGCCCATAGGAGGGCACGATGTGCCCGGTTAACCAAGGGTTGAATTTTTTTTGACCATTTTGACTTTTGGTCAAAGTTTGGTGGAATTGAATATTTTTCTATGGACTGGTCTTGGTTGCCATTAAGGGGCTTGTATTAGATGTTCTTGTGCTAAGGTTGTGGTTGAGCTTCTGTTGTTTAGCTCAAGTGATTTTTCTCACTATACTGTATACTCCAAGATGTATCCTTGTGTGCTAGGATTTAGTTAGGCTATAGTATATTGTTGGGATGTAGTATACGATGTTGCTGATTGACATATATAAGGGACTGAGGCATTCCTGCTTGTGAAAAAGGCCATGACGTGAACAAACAAACTTTATATTGTAGGCCATAGAGTTGATTACAATACTAACTACGGTGATGTAAGTCTAGATATTGTTTGGTTTGATACGGTCCCTAGGTTGTTATCGACTCGTTCGGTTGAAATACACCGGTTGAGTTGTTATGAACTTGTTCGGTTGAAACACATTGGTTGAGTTGTTAAGGACACGGGGTAGTTAGAGACCCATTGATGACTGATATGCTATTGTTGTTTATGGTATTTTCAGGAACTCACTAAGATTTATGTTTACAGTTATGGATTAAATACTTTTCAGGTACTTCATTAGATCTTGGCAAAGTGAAGGCGTGACTGTACACACATATCTATAGTTTTATGATTCAAGATTCCGCATTGCTTATCCTTATAACTCTGATTTTGAATTATAGTTTATGTATAAATAGTTTTTCTTTGGATGTATCTTTACGAAAATGACTATTTATTCTATTTTAAAAATCAAACATTTATTCTGAAAATCGGGACGTTACACATTAACCCCTACACGACATTGGAGGGTCTCTAGTTAGTTCTTCGGTGGATGGGGTGCATATGCTCTTTGATTTTATAAAAATAATGGAAATATGTTTGTAGGAGTAATAACAAAAAAATCACATTTATTAAAATTAAATTCAATCCAAACTAATAATTGTAATGAAATTGGTAAATTACTTCATACATGGTGAATCGGTCCATATTTGACACCATTGCATCATATTCCTCATGTATTGGATGCTTAGGGTCTTTACTAAAAAATCCGTTCTCTTAAATATATATATACCAGAGGCACTTAGATTTTATTTCTATCTACAA